GGAAAAAGGGCAAAAAAAAGGGCAAAAAAATCGTTTGGGCGGTTGGCTCTTGACAGCACAAAACATTTTTAAATTTTTAGGAGGAATCGGACAAAAGAGGGAGTTCGGTAGCCATAAAAGGAAAAAGCCATCGCCATCATCATCATCACCAAACAGCCATTGAAGAGGGAAAGGGTCCCTTTTTTTTTTTTCTGATTTTAAGGGGAACAGGGGCACACCAAAAAAGGAAAGAACAGCCATACAGAAAGAAAAGGGATTTGAGATTTTTAGCCGATCTCCTCTCCCCGATTTTCTTGGCTCTTTTTTTTCTCCTTCATTTTTCCTCCGGGTTTCCTTCTTTGGTTCCCGATTCTCTTTCAATTTTGAGATCTACTTCAACCCCAGCATTCATCAACATCATCACCGAACGGCAACAGAAGCCTGGCTGGAAGGGAGGAATTGGAAAAAATCAGGGGAAGAAGAACAGAGGATAACGAGAGAGAAGTTTGGGTTCCTTCTGGGAGGATTTTTCTGAACGGGATTTTCGAGGCTTGCTGGAGGTGGAAAAACAGAGAAGAAGAGGAGGCTTGGCCAGCATGCTCTGATTACTCTTGCCTTTAGGTAATCCCTTGAACTGAAAGAAAATAGGGAAGCAGTGAGGGTGATGATCGGAGCCTGATCTTGTGGATGGGATTCCTTCCTTCGGATCCAGATCTGTTTTCCTCCAAAAACTCTTGACTTTCGTTTCCTCGGTTTGGTTCTGATATTTGATTTATTTACTGATTTAGTGTTGAATAAAATTATGTTGCAAGTGAGTCATATTGCATTGTTTAATTTGTGTTTTTGTTGTTGAGATTACTGGATTCGGTGACTGTTGTTGTTTTTTTTTTTTTTTGAACATTTTAGTCATGCACCAGCTGGAACCGTTACCTGGGAGAGGTATTAACCTTACAAAAATATGATTAAAGCCACTTGAATCGAAGAATCAGGTTATGATGACTGTTGATTTGTTTTTGAAAAATGGAAAGATTGCCATATTTATTTTTTACATTTAATACGTATGATTATATTTTTAAATATGTTTATTTTTAATTTTAAATTAAAAAAATAATAATTTTTTAAATAAATATATTATATAATATATCAAATCAAAATATATATTAATAATTATAGAAATATATTACTGTTGTTGCACAAGCACTCTAGAGCACTCTTGTCCTCGACTATTTACTTCGATTAACCTATAAAGCCCCGAGGTATGGCCCTAGGGTAGACACTCTGACGCCCAAGTCAACAATAATTAGAGCTACCAGTTATGAATCAAGAGTTGAGCTTGAGTTCGGTTTTTCATTACCTCTTTGAGAGGACCCTTGGGGGTATTTATAGCCTTCAAAGGAGCATCCACGTGTTGCTCTCCACAGACAATAAGGATCATATGTGTTGATGATCGCAGGAAACTCTCCTGAGAGATCTGTACATGTATGGACTTATTGTAGGACAGGAGCAGAGGGGATGAACTCGAACTCCGATGAGCTCGAGTACGGCGATCTCATCGTTGAGTTCATCGCTCAAGCCGTTGACTGGGTCACTAAGAATAGATGCGGTTATCCAAGGCTATGGACCCCGAAATACAATGAGGAGCGTGACCTCTGACTACTACCACTACACTATTCCCCCCCCCCCCCCCCGAAGTCATTCACTTGTGAATGATGCGAATGTATTGCGGAGTCGGGCGGAGGCAAGGATGTCACAGCGTGGGGTCGCGAGATGGAGAGCAGAGGTTGAAGTCGCGTTACATGACCAAGGTCGAGAGGCGGGGGTCGACGTGAAGATGCCATTACTCTTGGGTATGCGACGTGACCGGAGTCGAAGTACGAATGTCATGACTCGCAGTCATGTGATGTGGCCGAAGTCGAAGTGCAAATATCATGACTTGTGGTTATGTGATGTGGCCGTAGCCGAAGTATAAATATCATGACTCGTGGTCATGTAATGTGGCCGTAGCCGAAGTGCAAATATCATGACTCGTGGTCATGTAATGTGGCCGTAGCCGAAGTGCAAATATCATGACTCGTGGTCATGTAATGTGGCTGTAGCCGAAGTATAAATATCATGACTTGTGGTCATGTAATGTGGTCGTAGCCCAAGTGCAAATATCATGACTCGTGGTCATGTAATGTGGTCGTAACCGAAGTGCAAATGGGAGAAAATCGTGTAAAGAGAATTGTGAAGGAACCAGAAGAAAAATAAAATAAAATAAAATAAAATAAAGTAACCTGGGCTGCCAGCTGTTGGGTGGCGTGCTGCAATAAATGTTGTCAGGAATAACTGCCGAATTCGAAGGGACGCGATCGTGGCCGCTGAATGCGGGCGATCGTGACCGTTAAAAATGGAGGTAAGGCTTGGTATAAATAGCTGGACTTTGAGTTATTCATAGTTTTACCTTGCTGAAATTGTAGCGGAGCCCTGCCGAAATCAAACTATAGCACCTCGTCGCCGAGATAACGACTGTCGAGTTCGAAGTAGGAGCTAAGACGTGAGCATAACGTGTATCAGCACTAGTGTTTCACTTCAGTGATACAGAAGTCAGGTAACTCTGAGCTCTACCTCTGGCTTACATTGGTTTACTTGAACTTAGAATTAGATTATAGCTAAGGTAGTTGGATATTTATTGGTGAATGAGGTATGGGAGAATAGGAATTATAGGAGATTCTGATCATTGTTTTGCCACGTATTCCTTGTAGTGGAAACTTTGGTGTTGAAGATGTTTTCTGAAGGGATTTTGAGTGTTGGAAGGGAAGGACAAATGGGGGACTTGAGTTCGAGCTCGGGTGTGGGCAGTGATAGTAGCAATAGTAGGTCTGTTAGTGGGGAGAGGAGGGTTGAGGAGTATAGCACTATCCCGACAAACATTTTGGAGGTCGATGACCGTCGGGGTAGGTGTTATGATGAAAGGGAAGGGGTGGTAGGGGAGGTGATGGGATATAAGTCGTGTTGGAGAAGTAGGGGGGAGTTAGGACATTTGGTGGAGAACTACGGCATCCCACCTTATGTGCTGGTGAGGCCAGCTGGGAGTGAGGAGCGAGTGTGTTCAGCCCCCAACGACCACTGGATGCCGCTGTATGCGCATTACTTAGCAGCCAGACTAGGTTTCCCATCCCGGAGCTGTTGGTGGCACTGTTGAAGGAGTATGGGATTGGGTTGACGCAGCTCGTCCCCAATGGAGTTCGGTTGGTGGTAAGGTTTTTGGTGTACTGTCAAATCCGAGGTGTGTCTATTCCCATAGTAGATTTGTTTAAGTACTTTTTTATAATTAAGGGGGGAAGTGGGAAGGAGAAGGGGTGGTTTTACTTCACACCTCGGGTGGCAGGCGATAAGAGTAGGAACCTGTTTACAGCGGGTCCTTCTTCGATTAAGGGGTGGAAGGAGAAATTCTTCTTCGCAGATGACACGGAGTGGGGGAGAAGAGATAGGGAGGTAGAGGAGCTCAGCAAATGGAGAGGGAAGAAATTGAATCCAAATAAGTACGAGCTGGGGGAGGTGGAAAAGAACGAAGTTAAAAGGTTGGAAAGGGGTGGAGGGGACTTGGTAGATATAATGTATCTGACCAGCTCGGAAGTGGTGGAATCATTTGGGATCTATGGGAGGAGCTCGCTAAGCGAAGGTGTGTTGACTTAATGAAATTCCATTTCGAAAGTTAGAAGTCTGATTGCAGCTAACTTTGTCTTGCTTTGCAGAGGAGATGAACCGATTAAGAGCTGGAGGAAGACCCGTAAGGCTGCTAGAGAAGAGATCAAAGGTGCTAGCCACAGGTGCTATGGAGGAGAGAGTGGAGGGGGGCACATCGAGGTCCCATCAAAGTGCAGGAGCTCGGGCTGAAGTGGGGTCCAACTCGGAGCCGAGGAGGGTGGCTGAAGGGGAGGCTGCAGCTCGGAAGAGACAGAGGGTGGAGGAAGTGCAGCCACTTCAGATTGAGGCGTCGATTGAGTTTGTGCCTCGGCCTCCCGCTGTGGAGGTGGGTCCGGCACTTCGAGAGGTAGAAGAGGTGGTGCTTGGAAGGGGAAGAGCTCTGTCCCTTATCCTAGGCAAGTCTCTAGCTTCTACGAGTCTGGGAGGACTTCTGCGAAGCGTTTCATTAACTCCCACTTTCCCAAAGTGGATCTGCAGAGGGCCAGGGACGAGGTGGCCCTGAATGGAGGAGTTGGGGTGTCATAACTCAAATTTTAGTAGGATTTTATTTTAGTTTTATTTTATTTTATTTTAACTAATATGTTTTTATCTTTGTTTTTCCTTGTTAGGTTTATAAAAAGAATGGGGGAGCAAAAAGGAAATTTTACAAAGAAGATTGGAAAAGAAGATGAGAAAAAAAGACTCAATTGAAGAAATTAAAAGTTGGAGGGGTGAAGTTCATCAAAATGAATTTACAAACCCGAATCCAAAACCCATCAAACCCAAACCCAAAACCCATCAAACCCAAGCCCAAAATCCCAATACCCATTTAACTCAAACCCAAAAAAAAAAAAAAAAAACCCAAACCCAGAACCCGTTTAACCCAAACCCAAAAACAAAAAAAAGTGAAATAAAAAATGGATCTGGAACCCTCTTCCCCACACACCCGGCCTTCTCCCTGCCCTGCACCGAACCTGCGCACCAGCTCCCGCACCAGATCCCCTCACCCCAGCGCCCTGAGCCCGCGCCCCGCGCACCAGCACCCCTGCCCAGCGCCCCTGCTCTGCATCCTCACCCGAGCCCGGCTTGCTGCCTACACCCCTAACCTGCGCCTGCCCTACACCGCGCCCTACCCCCCTATCACCGAACTAGCCATCATCACACCCTCGAACGCCTGCAACCTGCCCTGCACCCAGCCGACTCCGCCTCCCTTCTCCTGCACCCGTCGGGCCTACAACAGCCTACGCCCCCCCCTCTGCGCCGCCCCTCTTCTGCAACCGGATCCTGCACCCCACGTTGCAGCCAACTGAGCATGATGGTAGACCAGCGTCCTTTAGGGTTTCCTTTGATTTTTGTATAAATAGGTGGTTTTAGGATAGCTAAGGTCTGGTTTTTTGGGGTGGTTGGTTGATTTTGGGTCTGTTTTGTTGGGGAGTTTCGGCTGAGCTTCGAGAGCAATAGAAGGGGATTTCTTCTGGTATTGAGGCCGAGGTCTTTTGTTATGTGGTTCTGGTGTTGACGGCGGGGAGGTCTTTGTTTTTTTCGGTGACTTGGGTGTTGACGGCGGAGAAAAGGAAAATTTGTTCTGCTGGAAGAATTGAGTCTGCTTTGTGTAGGTAATTTCTTTGAACAGAGGAGTTTTCTGGGAACGGTGGTGAAGGGGACGATGGGAGCCTGGTCCCGTGGGTGGGATCCCTCCCATCAGATCTGGATCTGCTTTTCCTAGAAGAATTCCGCCGTGGGTGTTGCTTTATTTGTTGATTTCTTTCTCTTTGTATTTTTCATTTAATGTTCAAGATCGTATGTGTATGTATTTCTTGAGAAATGAATGAAAGATCATATATTTGCCTGTTTGCCTGATGAATCTGTGAATCTGTGGATCTTTTGCTGGAAATGAGATGTATTCATGATGAACCCTAATTGAAAACTTTTCTGTTTGGTGTTTGATCTTTTTGCCTGTTTTGGGTTGAGAGGTTTGTGTTTTGTGGGTCGGGTTGACCCGACTCAATAAAAAAAAACTAAAAAGGTTAAAAAGTAAAAAAAAATTAATAATATAAAATTATTAATTAATTAAAAGAGTTAGTTTAATTTATGATTAATGAAGTTAATTAATTTTAATTAAAATAAATTAATCATATTTATTGAGTTTGATTTGAGATGATTAGATTTATTTAGTTATCTCAATTAATGATTAGTAAATATGATTAATTAATTTTAATTAATGTTAAGTTAATTATTTAATTAGATTAATTATTTTGATTAATTAACTTTAATTTTCAATTAACTTTAATATTGGTCAAAGTCTAAGTTTTTCTTTTATTTTATTTCATTTTACTCAAAAGTTTTTATGATTAAGCAATTTAGTCCTAAGGTTTTAAATCTTTTTAAATCAGTCCTTCATGTTTTCGAATTTAATCAATTTAGTCCCTTTAATTTTATTTGTGCTTAGGATGCATGTTTATCTTTGATTTTGTCCATTTTAGCCCAAAAATTTAAAAATGTCACAATTTGGTCTGTCCCTTTTTCAAACTTGCCTATTAAGACTCAAACATAAACATGATGAATAAGTTGAATCAAAACCCCCAATGTTAAAGTATGCAACCGTGTTTAAACAGAGGATTGTGAGGTGCGCGTATGCCCTTCCTCACTCCTAACCGAACCCCCGAACCTCGATCTCTGCGCAGATCCGTTTTAGGTGACTTGTCCCACCTTATAATTTGGATGAGTGGCGACTCTCTTCTTTTCTATATTTTTACACTTAATCCCATTTTAAGTGGTCGTCAACATGGGGTAGTTCGGCAGGCTTTGGAGGTAAAATGGAGATTTCTTCTCCCCTTTTTTCTTTCTTCTATTTTTTTTTTTTTTGACTTTCGCTCTTCCTACAAACTGTGAACTTAGTGAATGCGATGTCAGTTGAATTCTTCGACTGCCTCCAGGATGGCATTTCTTTTGTTGGGAAGAATGAGGAACTTACCCGTCAGAAGGAGGTGGCAGAGAAGAACTCCCATGATCTGACCTCGGAGCTCGAGAAGGTCAGGAAGGAGTTAGAAATGGCCAAGGGTGCTGCCCAACTGAAGGGGCAGAAAAGGAAGGAGTGTGAGGAAGCCTTGGCCCAAAAGGAGGACGAGTTGGCCGAGGTCAACAAGAGAGCCGAGCTGGAGATTCATAACTCGGTGGAACAACGTGTCTGACTTCATCAAGTCTGCAACGTTCTTCGAGGTGGTGGACCTCTATCGCCTGCCAACGTTGGTGATGGCCTTCACAGATTGTAGAAAGAAAGTGAAGGTGCAGAACCCAGAAGTGGACGTGAGGAACATCACGTTCGGACCTGAAGAGGCGGGGGGTAGAGGAGAATGGAGACAGCCTGACAGCCGAATTCCAGCCCGAGATAAAAGTTGGGTTGGGAACTAGATGAGGCTGGGAGGGTGGTTCTCCCACCAAAATTGGATTTTGAATTCGTTGCAGTGGATGAGGCTGAGGCATCGAAGGAGGCCGAAGTGGCAGAAAATGTCCAAACCGAGGTGGATCAACCACACGAGATCAACGACTGAGTTCGGCCAGCTCGGTCTTTTTTTTTTTTTTTATTTCGTGAATTGTAGTTTTATTTTCTTTTGTCTGGTTGTAAGAATACTTTGTATTTCACTTTTATGGAATGAACCGAAAATATAGAATGGACATTGTATGACTTCGTCTTAAATGTATGACTTCGGACTTCGAAAAAACTCTTAAATTCCATGTGGAATTAAGAAAATGGCAATGGCCGAGTTCGTGTCTAATCCGAGGTAGAAGTAATTTTTTAATTTCGACTCCAAAAATATGACATCAAATGGGTGGGACCAAGTTGCATTAAGAGTAGAATTTCTTCAAATTATTTACATTCCATATTCTAGGGACTCGTTTACCCTTGGCGTCTTGGAGCACATAAGCGCCGGGGTGTGGCGTTTCAATTACATCATATGGGCCTTCCCAGTTTGGTGCTAATTTCCGAAAGCAGGTTTTGAAGTCGGTGAGCCCTACATTTCTGAGGACGAGGTCACCGATCCTGAAGCTACGAGGTCGGACTCACCTGTTGTAAAAGTTGGCGATCTTCTGCTTGTACGCTATCGTGCGAAGTTGAGCATGCTCGCGGACTTCATCCAGAAAGTCAAGGTTTTCCCGGAGTAGCAGGTCATTTCATGTTGAGTCGAAATGGCTGACTCTTAAGCTTGGGACACCAAGTTCAACAGGGATCACTGCCTCGGTCCCAAAAGCCAAATGATAGGGCGTTTTGCCTAATTAAAGGAAATTGTTTTTTTAATGAAATGTGTCATAATTATTGACTTCGGATACGGGAAGTGGAGTAAGTAGCATACCTGTGGATGTTCGGCACGTAGTTCGGTAGGCCCACAGCACGTTGTTAAGCTCATCTACCCACTTAGCTTTAAGCTGGTCTAACCTCGGCTTGATCCCTTCCATGATAACTTTGTTGACAGATTCAACCATGCCATTTGCTTCGGGATGATAAACCGAGGTGAATATTAGTTTAATGCCATAACTGGAGCAGAAATCTCTGAACGAAGTGCAGTTGAACTGAGGCCCGTTGTCAGCAACTATCTGATTATGTATCCCATACCTACAGATGACTGAGCTGAACACAAAATCTTCAATCTTTCTAGAGGTTAGGCTAGACAGGGGTCGAGCTTCAACTCATTTTGTAAAGTAATCAACTGCCACAACTAGGTGTGTCACTCCCCTCACGCCTTTAACAAAAGGACCCAGCAGATCTATCCCCCATTGGGCGAAAGGCCATGGTGCAACTATATTGGTGAGTTCTTCTGCAGGCATGTGGGTGAGGTGTGCAAAAAATTGGCATTTCTGGCATTTTTGCACGTATTTCTTGGCGTCTTCCTGCATGTTAGGCCAGTAGTAACCTTGGTGGAGTACTTTGTGAGCCAGAGTCCGAGCTCGGAGGTGGCTGCCACATATGCCTTCATGCACCTTGCGGAGGAGATACTCGACTTCATAGGGAGTTAGGCAGTGGAGAAGAGGGAGGGAGTACGACCTCTTGTATAAGATGCCATCAAGCAAGGTGTAACGAGATGCTTTTTTCCGCAGCTTCATTTCCTCCCTCTTGTCATCGGGGATAGTTCCATCTCGAAGGTAGGCCTTGATGGGATCTATCCAACTCGGGGTTTCGGGATCAATACTGACTTCCATCATTTATGACTTCTGAATGCTAGGTTCGTTGAGAACTTCCATATAAACAGACCTTCCTCATTTGGAGCTATCAGATGCCAATTTCGACAGAGAGTCTGCATGTTCATTCTCCTCTCTTGGGACTTTTGTGAGTTGGAACCTCTCGAATTGGCACTTCAGCTTGGAGACCACAGCTAAATACTTGGCTAAAATAGGATCGGTGACCTTACATGTAGAATTTACTTGGTTGACTACGAGCTGTGAGTCACTATAAGCTTGCAGGGATTTAACCTTGAGCTCTGCTGCCAAGCGAAGTCCAAGAAGAAGTGCCTCATACTCGGCCATGTTGTTTGTTGCTTCGAAATTGAATCTCAGGGCGTGCTCACTTCGGAAGTTATCTGGTCTCGTCAACACTGCTCCAGCGCCCGATCCCTTTCTACTTGATGACCCATCAACATAAAGGGTCCATGATTCAGCTTCAGAATTGTCACTATTGTCATTTGTCATGCATTCTACAACAAAGTCTGCCAAGGTTTGAGCTCGAATGGAGGACCTCGACTGAAAAGTGATCTGAAATTCCCCCAATTCCACTGCCCACTTAATTAATCGGCCTGAGCACTCTGGCTTCTGCAAAATTTGCCTCAAGGGTTGATCAGTTAGCACAATAATAGGGTGCGCTTGAAAGTAGGGTCTTAGCTTCCTTGTGGTGGTAACGACTGCCAGCGCTGCCTTTTCTGCAATTGAGTACCGCAGTTCGGCCCCCTGTAACACCTTGTTGGCGTAATATATCGACTTCTGCTGTCTTCCTACTTCTCTGACCAAGACCGAACTGATAGCTGCATCGGATATCTCGAGGTAGAGATAAAGGATTTCACCTTCTTCGGCCTTAGTTAACAGAGGTGGGGAACCGAGGTACAATTTGAGTTCATTGAAGGTTGTTTGACACTCTGGGGTCCATTCAAACTTCTTAGGCTTCCTTGTTTCGTCTTTTTGGGCCACGAATCTCAGGATTCTGAAAAAAGGTAAACATTTGTCTGCCGACTTCGATATGAACTTGTGTAAAGCTCCTAACCTCCCAGTTAAGCGTTGCACGTGTTTGACTGACTTCGGTGGCTTCATCTCTTCGATCGCCTTGATCTTTTCTGGATTGACCTCTAGCCCTCTCCGAGAGACCATAAATCCCAGGAATTTACTTGATTCGACGCCAAAGACACACTTGGCCGGATTCAACCTCATGCTGTGCTTTCGCAGGTTGCCGAATGTTTCTGCAAGGTCGGTTAGGTGATTCTCTACCTGGAGACTTAGACCTCCAAATTTCGGCCGATCTGAGCTCGGAAGACAATCGTTACCATCTTCTGATATGTAACCCCCGCGTTCTTGAGTCCAAACGGCATCATCATATAGCAATAGATCTTGTCACCTGCGTAGAAAGAGGTATTCACCTCGTCCTCGGGTGCCATGTGGACTTGATGGTACCCTGAGTAAGCATCCAAAAAACTGAGCCTTTCATTGCCAGATGCAGCTTCCACCAGTTTGTCTATACTTGGCAGAGGATGATGGTCCTTCGGGCAAGCCTCGTTCAGGTTTGTGTAGTCAATGCACATTCTTCATTTGCCATTCAACTTCTTGACCAGAACAGGATTAGTGACACATTCGCAGTAATCCACCCTCCTTACAAATCCTGCCTGGAGGAGCTTTTGCACTTCTGCCCTGATTGCTTCTAGTCTCTCACCGTCAAACAGGCGTCTCTTCTGTGCTACGGGCTTTTTCAGAGGATGGGTGTTTAGTTTATGTACGGCGACCGAAGTGGGTATCCCGGGCATGTGGGCCGAGGTCCATGCAAATACATCTTTGTTTGCCTTAAGAAAACTAATGAGCTCCTCCCTCTCTTTCAAGTTCAGCTTCGTCCCAATCTGCGTCTTCTTAGTTGGGTCCCTGTCATCAAGCGCTACCTCTTCTACCTCTTCCGTCGGGGTGGCTCTGGGTTGATCCTCATGTCTATTATCCAAAAGTTCCACACCCATTACGAGCTGCGTGGCTGGGATCTCAGGCTGAGCCGGCTCGGGGGGTGTCCCCTGCTTGTCCTTCCGAGGTCGGGAAACCGAAGTCATGTAGCAGCACCTGACCACCTCTTAGTTGCCTATTTGAGTCGCTACACCCATGGGTGTGGGGAATTTCATGCAGAGGTAGGACTGCGATACTACAGCTCGAATCTCAGTCAGAGCTGGTCTTCCAATGACGATGTTGAAAGATGACGCCATCTTCACTACTAAGAACCGGACTGAAGGGGTAACATATGTGTGGTCTGAGCCGAACACCACATTAAGCTTGAGGATTCCTTCTACCGGCACTGGCTGATTATTGAATTCGTAAATGGGCCCATCATACTTCTGTAGGAGTGCAGGGTCAAGGCCTAAGCTCTCGAAGCAATGATAATACATGATGTCTGGGGCACTTCCTGTGTTGATAAGGACGCGCTGAACTTCACAGTTATTAACAATGATTGATGTGACAAGTGGGTCATTGTGTGGCGTGACGACACCGTCGAAGTCAACTGAACTGAAGGTTATAGGTTGGTTCTTCCATTCTGCTTCGTCAAATTTCCTCTTCTGAGCTCGGTTCTGGTGTTTCACCTCCCGCACATACAGCTTCTACTGCGTTGAGCTCATTCCTCCGGACTCTAACCCCCCGGTTATCATGTGAATGATTCGTGAAGGTGGAGGTAGTGGAGGAGGTGGTTGCTGATATCCAACCCCAACTCTAGTGCCAGCATCTCTAGATGCTTGAGGCCGTCCCTGTTCTCTGACGAACTTGAGCTGGTCTTTGGTGGAAATGTCATCATTCAGCATTCCCTTCCGAGCTAAACTTTCAAGTTCAGACTTCAGACTTCGGCATTCTTTCGTGGTGTGGTCGTGGTCCTGATGAAAGTCGCAATATCTGCTATGGTCCTTAGAAGCAGGTGAACTTCGCATAAGGAGGGGTCTTCTAAGCTCCATTTTGTTCTTGATTTGCATTAAAATTTGCGACCTCGGCAGAGTAAATGCAGTCCACGCGACTTGTTTCGCTGTAGATTGTGGAGCGATCAAGGGGGCCTTGTCAATTTTAGTTGGAAATGGGCCTCTGTTTTGTGCAGACTTGAATCTCTTGTTCTGCCCTGAATCTCTCCACGTCGGGGGTCTGACCTCTTTGGTCGGCGTTGGCTTACCGGACAAGGCATATTCCTCTGCCTGAATGAACTTCTAGGACCTTTCATTGGCTTCATCAAATGTGGTGGGAGGGTGCTTTATCAGACTGTCTCGAAATCTCTCATGCTTAAGGCCCTGGATTATGGCAGCCAATCCCATAGCCTGATTGAATAAGCCGATTTCCAATACAGCATCGTTGAACCTGTTCATGTAATTTTTTAGGGATTCACCTTCCCTTTGGGCCACTCGCATGAGCTCGGAGGTCGTCTTTCTGATCAATCGGCGACTAGAGAACTTGGTTGCAAAGGCAAAGGATGTCGCTAGTTCAGCATATGAACTAATCGAGTTCGGAAGCAAACTGTAGTACCAAGTCCGAGCATTCCCTCGCAATGTGGAGGGAAATATTTTGCACATCAAAGCATCTGAGGCATTCTGAGCTTGCATGACAGAGCAGAATGTGTGCAGGTGGTCATCGGGGTCTTTAGTGCCATCATACATCTCGAAGTGAGGCATTTTGAATCCAGACGGGTATGGTTCTTGGATGATGTTAGTATTAAGGGGAGTGGGGATTGGGGTGGAGCTAGGTTGAGCCGGGGGGTGGGGATTTCGGTTCTCGGCTACCATTTTTTCTAGGTTATCTAGCCTCTTGGAGACATTTGAGGCAACTGGTTGGGGTGGCTGTGGCGGTAGAGGTGCCATGTGTGAATGGCCTTGGGATTCGCTTTGCTGCGGGTCGGCAGTCCGAAGTGGTGAGATGACATTTTGTTGAGGCTGTTGATTGGGCGCTTGGTTGGTTGGATTTAATAGGTTAATGAGGGGGTCACCTGGGTTGTCTCTTGCTAATAAATGTGCAAGCACAAGCTGGAAGACACCGAACTGTTGTTGCTTAGCATTGAGTTAGGTGGTTACAAGATCGTTTGGGATCTCTGTTGGGTGTGGGTTATTCTCTCCATGTGTGAGTGGCCTTGGGATTCGCTTTGCTGCGGGTTGGTAGTCCGAAGTGGTGAGATGACATTTTGTTGAGGCTGTTGATTGGGCGCTTGGTTGGTTGGATTTAATAGGTTGATGAGGGGGTCACCTGAGTTGTCTCTTGCTAATAACTGTGCAAGCACAAGCTGGAAGACACCGAACTGTTGTTGCATAGCATTAAGTTGGGTGGTTACAGGATCGTTTGGGATCTCTATTGGGTGTGGGTTATTCTCTCCGGTTCCTTTTGCATGTTGATGCTGAGCTATGGGTGATGGCACATTATGAGATGTAGGATTTCCTCCAAAGAATTGACCTCTTCCTCGGCCTTGTTGAAAGCTTCCAGGCTGCGTTGACCGTGTGTTAACCATCGTAGCAACTGCTAACTAGGCTTTTAGCTCGTTTCCCACAGACGGCGCCAATGTTGTTGCACAAGAACTCCAGAGCACTCCTATCCTCGACTGCTTACTTCGATTAACCTGCATAGCCTCGAGGTATGGCCTTGGGGTAGACACTCCGACACCCAAGTCAGCAATAATCAGAGCTACCAGTTATGAATCAAGAGCTGAGCTTGAGTTCGGTTTTTCATTACCTCTTGGAGAGGACCCTTGGGGGTATTTATAGCCTTCAAAGGAGCATCCACGTGTTGCTCTCCACGGACAATAAGGATCATATGTGTCGATGATCGCAGGAAACTCTCCTGAGAGATCTGTACATATATGGACTTACTGTAGGACAGGAGCAGAGGGGATGAACTCGAACTCCGATGAGCTCGACTACGGCGATCTCATCGTTGAGTTCATCGCTCAAGCCGGTGACTGGGTCACTAAGAATAGATGCGGCTATCCGAGGCTATGGACCCCGAGATACAGTGAGGAGCGTGACCTCTAACTACTACCACTACAATTACATCTCTAATTCTATCTCAAAACTTGTGGTAGGATTTATCAGCTGAGATAACAGAAAGCTGGAAGCACATAGTTTTTCTTTGAAGAATGTTAACAATCTACACTGAAGTTTCTATGAAGCCGCAACTGGTTCAATCATATATTAATGCTATAATGCTATCATATAATGGGATGGGAAAATATTACAGCAGAAAAAGCTGCCCTTAGGAGATAAGTACCACTTCTATCGACCCCGTCGATCAGTTACAGCACCTTCAACTTCAAGGTCAAATGAATAGACGGTCAATGTGATGATGACTCTGCTCCGCAGAGAGAAGGCCTTGCAATTTTCATTTTTGGGACAATTTGAATTTGATCCTTCTTTGTTGTTTGCAATTAAATGATAGTAGGAGTGTGGGACAGGTGGTTGTATTAATTTGGCAAGTGATTAATAAATAATAACAAAGTCATAAGTCAAATTGAATAACAAGAAAGTATATTAATGTCCTGAAATCTCACATTTCTCAATGTTATAACATTAACATCTCATAAATAAAATTGGTAGTACCATCTCAATTTTATGGAATAGTTTTCTAAGTTAAATTTTTTCAAAAGTCAAAATCTTCTAATAATTAAATATTAAGATTTTAAAGACCTATATGACAAACATGTAAGTGTTTTACCCATACAACTGAAATCTTATCCCCTATTACCCTTTTCCTTCCCTTAATTCCCAAAGTTCAGAAAAAGGAAAAGAACATTCAGATTTAAGAACACTGTTTAACCAATTACTATTTTCGGAGCAGTTGGCCTAAAGGTCCAATGGCACTTGTTATTGAAAAGTGCGTTTTCTTCTCCTTGGGTGGGTTTCAAACCCGCCCATGTCAAAAAGTTCAAAAAAAAAAAAAAATACTATTTTCGGAAAGAAATGGATATTTACCACTGCCAGTCCCCAAAGTTTCAGACACAGGACACTTTACAGTACTCAAGAAAGGGACTCACAAAGGTTAGGAGCAAAAGAGATCATGTCTCAGAATAACTTTCACGCTTTTCGGACAGTGACTCTGCTCCTTCTTAAAGGAGAAAGAGGAGCTTCAAATTTTCAAACATATTGTCAATTCTTTACTTCTTGTTGGAGGATTGCCTTCTCCTTTTTGGCTCACAAGAAACTGAAAATACCGTCCATTTTCATATGCAGAGAGCTTCACAACTCGCGTTGCATTACCTAAGTTAGTGTAGCTTCAGGCCTTCAAGCTTCAAACTTCTTCTAATTTGGGGAATTTAACCATGGTTTTTTTAATTTTTTTCCCCTAACATTCATTTTGCTTAGGCCATGTGTTTATTAACACATGTCTCTTTAAAATGGTTATGTATTGTAACTAGCCAGTAACCACTGATTGGGAACTTGTTTTACATGTTTAACATCAGGAATTCAGGATTTGAGGGCTGTGCTGGGTTAATGCTCATGGATTGTTAATGAAGGTGAAATTTTCTTCAGCAAATATCATTCTCGATAGACCAAGAAAAAAAAAACTTACTTGATATTGAGGGGTAATATATTATACAAATGTCCAAAACTTAATTCTTTGTTTATTAAAAAAATGATTAAAAATAGCAGAGATATCTCAAACATCAACGAGGCGACACATTTGAAAGTGTTACCTCATTGATAGAACAAACAATGTTTTTTGCGAGCGGTGAGGCTGACTCTGCAACAACTCGTCCAGCAAAAAATGCAGGTTCTGTTGGTTTAGGAAGTCTTACGGTCTCACCGCCCAAGATGAGTATTACAGATGACATGGTGGGTCTGTCCACTGGATCTTTCTGCACACACAACAAACCAATATGAATGCATTTGAGCACTTCAGACTCCACACATGACTGCACCATTTCTGGGTCTATCAGCTGCACTTCTTGACCTTGAGACCATAGTTTCCATGCCTGCAATTTGATTTTATATTAAGGGCATGCCGTTTTATGATCAGTATTTGTTTGAAGACAGAACAAAGGTTGGTTAGAAACTGACAAAGGTTAGAAGGCTTTCACCGCGTTCATAAAAGTAAAATCCATTAGTTTTCTTCCCGCTTATGATCTCTAGCAATAGGACACCAAAGCTGAACACATCAGATTTGACAGAAAATAGTCCTTCCATAACATACTCTGGTGCCATGTATCCGCTGTTTAAATTTTATAGGACCATAATTAAAATGACTTAAATCCAGAAACTTTGCACTTAAACATTATATACTACTCTGTGTGCAAGCCAAATAAAAAAAACCTACTCTGTTTGGATATTGATTATTAGAGATATTAGCCTAGAAAGGCAAGGAAGATGAGGACTTACTATGTTCCAACAACTCTTTCTGTGTTTGCTTCACTTTGATTTCCACCAATAATTCTTGCCAAACCAAAATCTGATATTTTTGGGTTCATTTCTCTGTCCAACAAAATATTGCTTGCTTTAAGGTCCCTATGTATAATTTTAAGACGAGAATCTTCATGAAAATACATGATGCCCCGAGCAATTCCCATGATGATTCTAAACCGTCTCTGCCAGTCCAATTGCACACTCATGCTTGAATCTGGCAATAATCAAAATCAAAAAAGAAGGAAAATCAGTTGCTATTGCTTCCATTTCATGTGTGAAGTAGAAGTGTCTTAGTTTAAGGATCAAACCAAAAAGGAAGACATCGAGGCTTCTGTTCGGCATGTACTCATAAACCAACAACGTTTCATTGTCCTCCAGACAGCACCCCAGAAGCCTTACAAGATTCTTGTGTTGTAATCTGGCAATTAGCATAACTTCATTCTTGAATTCTAGTAACCCCTGACCAGAAGTTCTCGAGAGCCTTTTAACTGCAATTTCCTTACCATTTGGTAGTGTACCCTGAAAAAGTTATGTAATAGGTAAGAATTTAAATCATAGAAGGCCTACCCATAAATTAGGTAACAATCACCTTGTATACAGCGCCGAATCCACCTTCTCCAAGTTTATTTTTATCACAGAAATGGTTTGTGGCTGCATTAATAATATCTAACTGAATGAAAGGAAATTCATGGGAACCTCCTACGTTTCCGCCCTCAAAATCTTCGTTTGAGTATCCATTTCCGAAATTTCTTCCTCTCAAGTCAAGTGTTTGAACCACTTGTGTAGAACGGTAGAGAAACAAAAGAAGAATGATCAGCAAAGAATAGTAGAAAGAAATTGGATATTTTTGGAAGCAACAAGTACATAACTCAGTTCATCATATAATCTGAATGACCTAATGCAAATTAACTGGCAAGAATAGAAAACCTTAATACGATTTATTATATCTTGCTGTAAACAAATTAGAAAATTAAATCAAAATATAATAAATATAAAAGAATGGTATATATCAATCTAAATTTAAAAAAAAATTAGAATCTCAACTTTCAAAAAGACCACAATCTGATGAATATTCTCAAAAAACAACTATTAGATTTAGTGTTATATATATCAAGGTCATTTATATTAACTTTCAAATTAATTGAATTAATATATATAACTAGTTTAATTAATTATAGAAAATTTATCACTACTAAATATATATTAATTAAAAAATATAAATTTCTTAATCAAATAAATATAGATATTAAATTAACTTGAAAATTAACATACATTATCAATATCAGTGAAACAATAAATGTAATGGTGTATTTTTGAAAATATTCATTGAAGGGTGACATTTTTAAAGTTAGGTCTCTAATTTTTTTTATAAGAGTTGAAATTAATGTGCACTTTTTCTTAAATATAAAGTTCTACCAAGTAAATATTAGAGTACAATTTAATTCCTATGTATAGTAATAGGACAATGATTGATGCACACCCGGATCCAACACTCGGGTGTGCACCCCCACATAGAAAAAAGAAGTTGGACCGGGTGATAAACTTTTTTTTTTTGTTTATATGATGTGTGCACACCCGGGTGTTGGATCCGGGTGTGCACACATCATTTTCCATATTAATAATCACAATGGAAGTCAGAATAATATAGGATTTCCTTCATTTCTCTACAATATTCTCACCCTAGACTCCACTTGACTTCTGCACCTTATAACCCAAAAAGATTGGTCCCAGTAAAGGACAGTCGTCATCAAATTCTCACGAGAACAGGTTGATGAACTTGCAAGATAAAGGTGTAGCAAGATTTGATTAACAAAACACGAATATTTAGATTGGAACTGATGGCGTGGGGTGCAGTGACTCAGGATGGCGGCAGATCCAGATGGCGGCAAGGACACAACTGGAGGACTGGAGATTCTAGGAGTAGGTCACAGGGACAGGTAGAATCCTTCTTTTTTTACAACTTCCCAGAGGATTGGGATGCAAAGGCTTTGTGGTACCAGTTTCAGAATTATGGAAAGGTTGTTGATGTGTTTATCCCAAGTAAGAGAGATAGAAGGGGGAAACGGTTTGGGTTCGTCCGAATGCTAGGAGAGCAAGATGTTAAGCAACTTGAAGAGAGACTAAATAGGATTTGGATAGGATCCTATAAGCTGAGGGCAAGAGTGGCATCTGTCAGGAGGCAGAGAGGGAGAAACGATCAGAGGAACGCTGGGAAGAATGCTAGGACTGACAGGGTACAGAGAGGGTTTGAGCTTCGAAGAAATGCTAGATTGAAAGTGGGTATCAGGGAGCAGCGTTTTGTACAACCAGGATTGTCATATGTCCAGGCTGTTATGGGATCTTCAAGGAAAGATAGTGCTCTGGTTCTGAATAAACAAGCAGATAGGAAGGTGAAATCTGCAGCTTTGGATAGGGTATCTATTAATCAAAGGAAGTATGGGAATCTTGAAGGGAAAAGCCCCGGTGATAAGGAGGGAGTAGCGACCACGGGATACAATAGGGAGGAAATTATAGAATTTTATCCACTGAAAGAGGAGAGTCAATGGTTGCAGGGGAGCATGATTGTAGTGGTTAAGTCCATGTCAATGATCTCTAGTATTCAAGAGAGATTGGATGTGGATGGGGGGATGATTAATATATCACCATTGGGAGGGAGAAGTTTGTTATTAACGGAGAAATTGACGGGTTACCTGACTGAGTATGTGCAACAACACAGAGATTTATTCGAACTCTGGTGTGAGAAAACTCATTCTTGGGATGAGGCACCTCAAAATTGTAGTAGAATGGTTTGGGTGAGTATATCTGGAGTTCCATTAAAAGCCTGGAGTGATCGGTGTTTTGAGAAAATAGCAGCTTCGTTAGGGGAAGTTGTACTGGTGCATGAAGACACAAAATCCAAGTCGATTTTGTGTGATGGAAGAGTGCTGATTCTATGTGCTGAAAGGAACAAAATTGTAAAGAAATTGAAGCTAAAAGTGGAGGAGACTTTGTATCCGATTACAGTGACAGAGGAAGAGTGGAGGGCCGACCCGGACTGGTGGCTGTCGGAGGATGATCAGAGGGATGAGATAGAAACGAATTTCGATTACTCCTCGTCGGAACAGGGTGAAGAGGATCACGAATTCAATTATTCCGTGATTCGCGGTGATGATGAAGATGACGTAGATGACATAGATGAGATTGATGGGGAACGGCTACAGGCAGAGGGAAATTCAAATTCAAAAAAAACTGTAATAATAGAGGGCATGGGGTCTGCGAGAGAGGAGAACAAGGGGTTGAATGGGCTCTATAATCAAAAGGGCCAAAAAAGGGACGCAAGAGATGGGCCAGAAGAAGAGATTGGGCTGAATGTGAGTATTTCCCAAGTGCAGGAAACAAGGGAAACGGGGAATGGGCCAAAGAACAAAACCGGTAATTTAGGTGCAGAGCCGGGGACATCTGAGGGAGATTTGAATAAAGGAGTTAAATTGGGAACTAGGGATTCGAGAGAAAAAAAAAAAGGAAAGAAATAAAAGCTTGCTACCCGCAGGAGAAACACGCAGGCGGTGAAGTGAGGGCGCAAGGGAGCTCAGAGATACATATGCAGAGACATCACCGAAACCGGGAAGAACACCAGAAAGTCCAGAACCAGGCGGAGGTGCAGGATCAACGGGCTAGGAGTTTTTCATTGTCTGACGGGTGCATAGCTCACAGGAATAAGGTGATACGCAAGGAGATGAACATTCAGGAGGTAAGAAGGATTTTTAATCTAGGCAAACGCTTGGGTATAGAAGTGGGTGAAAATGATGAGGAAGTTCAGTCAAAATTAATGGAGTTGGAGGTGAGGGATGAAGGATAGGGGACGGGGTAGAAGGGCAGTGGTGATTCGGTAAAGATGGGTGTGAGTTTATATTTATGTTTTTATGAAATTAATATCATTTAATGTGAGGGGATTAGGGAGTATGTTGAAGAGGAAGGAAGTGGGTAAAATGGTCAAAGCTGAGCGACCGGATGTAGTATTTTTGCAGGAGACAAAATTAGAGATGGTGCAGGGGAATCTATGTAAAATGCTGTGGTATTCGGATGAATTTGATTGGGTGATGAAGGAATCGGTAGGAGCTTCTGGAGGATTGCAATGTGTTTGGAACAGGAGGGAATTTGTGAAACAAAGGGAGTTTTCAGGGGATGGGTTTGTGGGCATTTCAGGGGAATGGGGATCACAGAAGTTAAAATGTAATTTGGTGAATATCTATGCACCAAATGACAGACAAAAGAAACTCAAGTTGTGGGAAGATCTTCGGCTTATGATAGTGGAGGAGGAAGGCCGATGGCTGATTGCTGGAGATTTTAACGCTGTTAGGAGTGCAAATGAAAAGAAGGGTAAGACAGGGGAGACGATGGAAATGAGGGAGTTTGATGAATTTATTGTGTCAGCTGGTTTGGTGGATCTAAAGTTGGCCAATAGACGTTTCACGTGGTATAGGCCGGATGGAACGTCTATGAGTCGGTTAGACAGGGTTTTGATGTCGGATGAGATGTACAATTTGGAAAAGGAATGGGTGCAGCAAGGATTGAAGAGGACTGTGTCAGATCATTGTCCGATTATGGTTAAAACAACAGCAGCAGATTGGGGACCGAAGCCTTTTCGAGTGTTTGATGCATGGCAACAGCACCCACAATATAGGAAGGTGGTGGAGGACAAATGGAAGGAATTAAATGTTGAAGGGTATGCTGGATACAGATGCTTGCAGAAGCTAAAGAGATTAAAAGAATTTCTAAAAGGATGGAATAAGGAGGTGTTTGGGAACATGGAAACACAATTCAACAATGTTGCAGAAAAAGTTGAAAGGATTGATTTGAAAAATGAAGTGGTGGAACTGGAGGGAAGCGAGGTGAAACAAAGGAAAGAAGGTTTTCAGCAGATATGGGACATGTTGAGGATGAGAGAGGCTATATGGAAGCAAAAATCCAGAAGTGTCTGGGTTAAATTAGGGGACCAGAATACTAGGTATTTCCACAAGGTTGCAAACGGGAGAAAGGCACAGAATAGTATCCAGGGAATAATGAGCGATGGTCACTGGGTAGAGGAACCAGTTATGGTTAAGAAAGAGGTTATGTCTTATTTCCGCAAGGCGTTTCAAGAAGAATCTTGGGATCGGCCCAAGCCCTCAAAGATCGAATTCAAGAGAATTTCTGAAGAGCAGTCGAAATGGCTTGAGAGACCTTTTACTGTTGAGGAGATTGAAGAAGGATTGAAAAGCTGTGATGGAAGTAAAGCCCCGGGGCCTGACGGGTATAATTTGAACTTCCTTAAATTCTTCTGGAATAGTATTAAGGATGATTTTGTTGAATTTTTTTGTGAATTTCATCAAAGATGCAAGCTAGTGAAAGGGCTGAATTCTTCCTTCCTAACATTAATCCCTAAAAAGCTGAACCCTAGGGAATTGAAAGACTTTAGGCCTATTAGTTTGATAGGGTGTGTGTACAAATTATTGTCAAAGGTGTTAGCTAATAGGCTTAAAAATGTAATGTCAGAGATTATCAGTGAAACACAATCTGCGTTTGTTGGGGGAAGACAATTAGTTGACAGTGTTCTGGTTTTAAACGAAGTGGTGGATGAGGTTCGGAATAGGAAGACACCAGCTTTTGTTTTTAAGGCAGATTTTCAAAAAGCGTATGATTGTGTCAACTGGTCATATCTGGATTGGATGATGGATAGATTTGGTTTTGGAGCCAAATGGAGGGGGTGGATCAAGGAGTGTCTCTCGACTGCACGGTGTTCGGTGCTGGTAAATGGTAGCCCAACGGAGGAGTTTGACCTGGAGAAAGGGTTGAGGCAAGGGGATCCTTTGTCTCCATTTCTATTTCTGATGATTATGGAGGGGTTAAATGGATTGGTTAAAAAAGCAGAGACTGAAGGATTGTTACAGGGAATAGAGATTGGTAAAAGGGGGCTGACGGTTTCACTACTACAATTCGCAGATGATACGATTATCTTGGGACGAGCTGCCAGTGAAAATGTTTTTATGGTCAAAGCTATTCTAAGATGGTTTGAGATCATGTCAGGATTGAGGATTAACTACAGCAAAAGCAGTATCTATGGATTTAATGTGAAAGAGAGCTGGGTAAGAGGAGCTGTAGGTGTTTTGCGGTGTGGTTTAGGGGTCAAACCTTTCTCTTA